CTAAAAACAAGAACATAGACAATCTTTATCCTGCTAGAGAATCTAAAGGAATCCATGGCGACTGACCACTCTGATGATTTAGACCAACTCCTTGACAGTAAGTATCATCACCCTTTTTGCCCATTTATCTATATGTATATCTATTTTTATCTGTTTCTTGATTGCATACCTTAGAATTACATGTGACTGAATTGAATTGGGTAATTCAAAGCTACCCTTTTCCCCATTTATCTACAGCCTACAGGTAACTGTATTTAGTTGTTTATTGGTTATGGCCTATGAGGTTATTCAAATTAGCCTTTTCTTGTGTCCAAGAGTGTAGTCTAGTGGTCAATAAAGTGGGTTAGTAACCATGAGATCTCGGGTTCAAATTCAGTAGATACAAAAGTAATTTAGGTGATCTCTGTTCATTTGTCCTATAGTAGCCTTGGTGGATAGACTTAACTAGTACCTGTCGCGGCTGACAGGTATCTTGTGGAATTAGTCAAGGTGCGTGAGGGCCACAGCTATCAACTTTTCTTTTACCCTTTTCTTGATTTCAAATTTTCAGGTGCTTTGGATGATTTTCAGAGCCTCAATCTCACTTCTGGTTCTCAAAGGTTTCTGCTTTCTCTTGTGGCATATATAAATTTACTTGTGTTTTAAGCTAATGGGGTTGAATTTTGAATTTTGGGCTTAAAACGGGTTGCTTTTGATTGTAGAAGTGGAGATGGAGAGGAGAAGAAAGATAGTTCTTTTATGCCTGGTGAGGTTCAAGGGTTAGGGATGATGTTGCCCGATAGGAATGCTAAGAAAAAGGGGAAGCAAAAGGCTTCTGGTGAGTCAAAAGACTCGCACGTTGCTGAAGCTCTTGATAAGCTTAGGGAGCAGACTAGGGAGGCTGTTAAAGGATTGGAATCAGTGGCTGGGCCGAGACCTGGTGTAGAGAACATGGGGAATGATGCAATGATGGAGGAGTGGGTGAAGCAGTTTGAAGAGCTTTCTGGGTCTCAGGTATCTTGTCTTTACTGAATTTAGTTATTTTCTTTATATGTTCGAACATAGAGACTGCAAAATATGTCTCTTCATGAAGATCCATAGTTGTGAGTTCCTTTTTTCTGGACTTCACTAGGAGGCTATGACATTTCATTTCTTGATGGTGGATTTTTTGTTTATGTTATCGTAATCTCTTTATTTAGTTTCACTAGAGTGGGTGTAGGTTGATACACTGATACGGTTTAGACTGTTAGAGAAACTATTGTGCTTTTTTTCGTTGTCTTTCTTGTTGGGCATATTTAGCTTTTCTTTATGTGGCTATCAAATGATTGTCTTGGTGCATCAGAATCTTGGGCAATGGATTAATTTGAATTTTCATTGTTACACCATGGTGTTAAACTTTCTAGATATTCCCAAAGATGTTGACTGATGTATCCAATTGGCCAACATCATATTTTCAACAATATAAACACTGCTTAAAGAAAATTAGTTGTATCTACTGATCTCTGGATTAAGATAGCCTAATTAGAGCTTTTTACTATCTGTGCGAAAACTTAAAAGTCACTTGATTGCTGTTGTATGAAACACTCTAAGCATCAAATAACAGCCATCCTTCTGAGGACTCATCAGGTGAATCCCATAATGTGATCTTTTAATAGACTTTATAATAGTTGGTTCTACTTCCTTTGCTTTAAAATCTCCGTGCGTAGCTTGATTACCTATTTTAAACCAGTTGCAGATTTGGATGTTGAGCTTTGGTTTTACGTGAAGGCTTTATGTCATTTAGTTGCTTCCTCCTACTAATGCTAATTTAGTACTCATGAATTGAAGTTTTAGGACTAGTTGGATCATGGATGCTTGAAACAGCATGCTGACAATGAATAGGAAAGATGAAGGTGGAGGGTCGAAATTGTTGGGAGATTAATTGAAACTTGTATCAATTACTAAGACAGGGCTAACCTGAATTACAGCCAATCCCTATAAGTTGTACAAAACATTTGTTTTCCAGAGTACTTAGGTCAGGCAATCTCGTAGTTTATGACTGCAGTTGCTAGTTTTGATTAGGTATCCTTTAGTTTATGCTGCAGTATAAAAAGGAGAGGTTCAGCGGGATAGAGATTAGAGAATGATTCTGTATTTTTGAGGAATAGCTTCTCTTTCTAGTTATTTTTTGGTGCACCCAGGAGGTTCCGGTTTTCATAGAAGATTGGTGTATTTGGTGGAGAATCTGTTATGCTGTGCATTCTCTACTTTTTGATATACTGCATGTACACGAGATTTTTCTCATTATTACTGAAATTATTTGCAATATCCCCCCTTCCAAAAAGAAAAATATAATTACTAATTCTCAGTCTTGGTGTATGTTTATGCGACATGACTGTAACAGGGAGAGATAATTATTAATTCTCAGTCTTGGTGTATGTTTATGCGACATGACTGTAACAGGGAGAGATAATAGAAATAGGAATTTCTTTTCACCCTGTTGCTTGTTTTCATCCCTGTCCAGTACATTCTCTGCACTCTTCTTGCTAATCATTCACAGGGATTCTTCGGAGTTTGATCACTTAATAAAGAAAAATAAAAAGATAAAGTTAATGAATGTGTCCATTTATTTTAGGCTCAACTTTGTCAGGACGTATTGTATTAGTATATTTTGGAGATTGTAAACCACTTCTTGATCTATATGTTCCAGAAGGTGATATATGATAAACTAAACATAAATTGTAAAAATGACTTCCGCGCAAGAGTCTGCTCCTTTTATTATAGAGCATCTCTTCATGTCCAGAAAACATCCAATGACTGTTCCTATCTCCTCATTCAAGTTTAGCTTTAAAGCTAACTGGCAAAATACATGGAATTTTAGAAATAGTTCACTTATTTCAAGAGTGCTAGTCTGGATTAAGTTGGATGTTTGGAAGCTGCACTGTAGGGTCAAGATATCTCTCTCTTAGCAGTGAATGGATTTCACAGCTTTGGACTTGCATTTGAATTTTTCGGTCGGGTGTCACTTGGAAGAGATCAGTAGGTAGTTGAGCATTGTCTCACTTTTCCTTACATATTAGTTAGTCTTAGTATTACTCTTGTAGTTTCTTGTCCTTTGATTTCTGTAACTATTTGTTGTTTCTTGTACTTCAATTATCATAGTATTTTGTTGTAGTTACTGCTCCTTTTTTCAGACTGCTTTGTCATGCTCTCTATAGTATTTTGTCATGGCTTCTCCACTTCGTCATTTCTTTTTCGATCTACTTTGAATTGCTTTTCCTTGAGCCAAAGGTCTGTTAGAAACAACCTCTCTACCTCCCGAGGTAGGGATAAGGTCTACGTACACTCTACACCCCACCTGTGGGATTACACTCGGTATGTTTTTGTTTGTTTGTTTGTTGTTTTGTCACTTGGAAGAGATTTCTGAGGCTTCTTTTTTCCTTTCACATGTCTCATTATGCATCATGTCTTATACCGTAGCTTTTCAATTGCTTGAAGTGGATATATAATTTTTTTGTCTCGGATGCGTAGGACATGGAGTCTATAGTTGAGACCATGATGCAGCAGCTTTTGTCAAAAGAAATTCTTCATGAACCCATGAAAGAAATTGAAGATAGATATCCCAAGTGGTTGGAAGACAACAAAGTTAAGTTGAGCACTGAAGAGTATGAACGTTACAAAAAACAGTATGAATTTATAAGAGATCTGAACAAAGTTTATGAAACCGAACCCAGCAACTTCAACAAAATTGTAGAGCTTATGCAGAAAATGCAAGAATGTGGCCAACCGCCAAATGATATTGTTCATGAGCTAGCTCCAGACTTCGATATATCTTCTCTTGGACAACTGTAAGTCCTCTAATAGTTTCAAGATTTTGTTCATATCAAGTTAGCTACATATTGATAACTCAGTTGTCGTTAAAGTTTAGAGTTGCCACATCTTTTTGAAAAATGGACTCAGTTCAAGAGTAGATTAGCATTATAATCAGTTAACTTTGTGGCTCGGGGATACATAAGGTAAAAGCTTTTACAATATGAAAAAGAATAAGGATATAGAGTCTATCTAGACAAACATATGCCAAATTACTAGTATTTTTTTTGGGATTTGTGCCACATAGGGTCCATTTAGGGGAGGCGCTACCTGCAGAGGATTTTTTCATATCCAGGTCTTGAAATCGAGACCTCTGGTTAGGGGAGGAGCAGCCCCGCTTTAGATTTTGTATGAATTATATGCATATTTTTATCATCCAGAGTGTTTGAAGATGGAATGTGAGAACTATTTGATATTTTATATTGAGCTAAATTTCCTTATGGTTTTGCAGATCCCCAGAGATGTTGGAGGGCCAACAGAACTGCTCTATCATGTAATAGATAATACCATGTCTTTATGACCTGCTGGCTCCTTAATTTTCTTTTGTCACAATTTGCATAGAACATCATTTATTTTTGCCTGAATTTTACTTATGGTGTTATTACTCATCTCTTAATATATCTCTATGCCATTTTCCTTCCTTTTTGGAGATTTACCCGGTGTGAGATATCACATTGTTCGAGGAACTCTAGATGTTGTGAGATACTATCACATTGTTCATATTCTCGATTAGGCGCACAAAATGGTTGTGATTCTTAAAATGGTGGAATAAAATGATGACAAACATGTTGATTTTGTTGCTTTCGGAGCATTAAAGGACTATCTAAATTGATTTGCTTGGGCTGATAAACCCCAATTGCATCATAGGAACTAGAAAAAAAGGGGTTCTTCCGTATATTTTGAGTGAGTATCGTCATTTTTATTATTTGGATATTTTTTTTGCTATTACATTGATGATTTTTTACTTGCTTTAATACTATAGTCCATTAAGCGGTATGCGTTGATGCGAAAACGGGATTCCGATACAAGATTAATATGAAAAGATTCCAAAAAAATAGATTACTATCATTTGCTTTATAAATGCCATTACAATCATTTTCTTTTCTATATAAACAAAAAATGAATGGAATTAAAGAATTAATTAATAGACAACAGAATTATTTTTTTCAAAAAATTGTTCAAGCGTCTGATGGGTCAATCCAATGGCGTCCATTAACAAAACTCTTGGCTAGAAACTTATGGGCCGTATCGTAATCCAGTTCACGGGCCCATGATACACCTTTCACTGCTGCTGCTCCTGGACCTGAACATTTGTATACACCGAAAAATGCTGTCCTGAAAGAGGAATTTTGACATATAAGTACAAAATCGACACGATACGCTTCATCGATTCAAACTGAAATTTTTGTGTCCCTACTGTTACAAATATACGATTCATGGGAAGATAAAGAAATAATGCGAACCAGGTACCTATGTTTTTTTCCTTTCAAGGAAGGGAAAAAGTGACATAAACATAAAGCATTTGCTTGAAAAGGGAAAATCTTGATATCACCGTTTAAAAAAATTAGCAAGTTCCGTTTGGTTTAAACTCAATTTTTTTATATTTGATATTCAAAACTCACTTTAAACATGCAACAAATAGTCTTACTTGTTCTTGTTGCTGACGTGGTCCATGTCATCCCAGCCATCGTGGGCCACAACGTCATCGAAGTATGTGTACGAATAGACAATTCTTGAGTACTGGCCCATAGCACGGCCCACATAAAGTGGGCCTGACCCAGTAACCCTACAGCCCAAGAATGCGAATCCAGTCTTCTCATCTGGGGATTTTCTATCTTGGGCTGCAATGGACCCAAATCTGCTGGCAATTGAATGTAACTCACAGTTCTGCACCAACACAAACAATAATTTGGACAGTTAATAAGAATTAATTACTATATACAAATTATAAAAATTACATAACTATATAACTTAAAATATCATAATCTCTAAAATTTCATACCATTTAAAAAAATTACAAAAATTCCTCTCGGATACATCCCTTCCCTCGCAAATACATATGTGAGCTATGTATCCACAGATTTCCGGATGTATCCAAGAACCTATAATTTTAAGAGGTTTTTGTAATTTGAGAAAGAATAGGAATAAGATATAATTAACTCTTAACACTGTGGAATTTATGTAATTTTTACTAAAAATTATGAATACATTATTGTGAGTATTAGTTTTAGTGAAAAAGGTAAATATAACAGTTTGAGATGATTTTTTTTTTGTTTGAAATGAAATAATAGTGATTATGACAGTTTATTCTATATTCTACCCTATCTTCTATCTGTTTCAATTTGTTTGTGCTATTTTGACTTGATACAAAAATTATTATTTTTTTAAACTTTTAAATTTTATGATTTTAAATTAACAATATAAAAATATTCATTAATATTGTGATCTTAAAAATCGAAAGTAGAAATTTTTGACTGCCAGGTAGACATTAGCACTTGGTACCCTACTAGCTAAGTAGTACAGCTCATACAATTATTTTTTTGACGTAAATAATACTAATTAATACTCTTTTCATATATTGTTTTACCGCAGAAGCACGCAAAATTAAAGTATACTATATATAATACTAATTTCTAATTAAGCGTGAACTTTTAAATAATGGAAAAAAGTAATCCTCCTTTTATTCAAGATACAGACATCAAGACCAGACAAAGATTCCAGCTTTAGCAAATCTACGCAATTATCTCACGCTTTTGAAAAATAAATAAATTATTATACTATTATCTTCTTCTTACTCATCTTTTTCTATGCAAACAAATATTTTAAAACAAATTGTCTTATACTCATGGAGTCAGGTGAGATGAAAAATTACATCGTATATTTAAGGTTAAAATTATTTTTTTATGTATATTTCGTATGTTTATTATTTTATATTTTGAATTCAATGGTGAAAATCCTAACTCCACTCTGCTTATACTTTAAATAAATTTCAAAAAATTACACTGTATATATAAAATACGGGAAAACAATAAAGTGGATGTGTGTACCTTATACATAGAGCGACCATTGCCAAAAATGAAGTCAATAGAACCCTCAATGTAACATTCTTTGAAGTAATGGCGGCCGGCGTCGTCACAAAGAGTGTCTTGTGCACCGTAAAATCCACAGCCGGAGAAGTAAGCTTTGTCGCCGGAGATTCGAAACGCCACTGCTTGCCATCCTTGCATCCCTGGCAATGGTGCTGGTGCTGTGTTCTACAAAAGAATAATAATAAGAAAATAAGAGATTTTTTTGTGACAGTTTTTAATACTGTGGTTGCATAATAATTGTACACAGATATATTTTTTTCAAGTTCATCTGAATTCAATAATTTAGTTTGGCTCAAACGTATATTAAAAAAAATATTAGAAGGGTAAATTCCGAGCTCAAGACCATAATGTTGGTAAATGTCAGCAAGGATTTATCTAATTATGTATATAGTGTAATTGACATTATTAAGGCAATTATTTAATTTATTATGGAAAATTGTTTTACTTATTTTTGAGATAACTTGATAGTATAAAAATCCAGGTATATATCTAAACTAACAACGGAAGATAAAGTTTAACTAGGTTCAGTTTTTCAAATATTCTCCAAAATATCTAAAAACACACTAAGATAAATATCAATAATAAAAAACTTATAACCTAGAAAGAAAACAAAAAAAATATAGTAAACTTTTTTCTTTCGACTTCAATTTATGTAACACTCTTTACATTTTAACTTCTCTAGAAAAAAAAAGACACATTATTATACTACTATTTAGAAACTTGCATGGTATTTATAGCTAGATAATTTTCTAAAAAAATGTTTTCAAAAGCGCAAGTTTCAATTTTGTTTTTTTCCGCTTAAACTTCAAACATTATCACATAAATTAAGATGAGTGATATAATATTAAGTGAAACTACAATTATATACACCCTTCGTTCACTATTAAAAGTTTTATTATTTATTTTTCTTTTATATATAATGGACAAATTTAAATGCCTTCTCCCATTGGTCCAAACTCAAAACTTTATGATATTATTCTCTATCATGCATTATGATCTAGTTCTGTATTTTTCTTACTTTGGCCACACACAACATAGAGACATGCAAAATTAATGCCCCTTCTCCCTCTATCTTATCTTTAACGGTCAAACCCATTAATTATTTTTTTCTTCCCATGTCGAGTATCTTCATTAGAGTTCGATTAAATTTTAATTCATGCCAAAAAGTTTTACATTGGGAGATAAAACAGTCTCTAACCAAAGCGACTTCATACCTACGAGTGACTCAAACTTGAGATCTCTGATTAAAAATAAAAAAATACTTATTACTCCACCACAACCCACAGTCAAACCCATTATATTGTGCTGTCTACACACTGCACACACAATGTTACAATAAAACAACATAAGTTCAACTTTAAAATTTTGCCAGAAAGAAACAAACAAAAAATGACAGATATAAGAAAATGACTTATCATATATTATATGTATATATAAAAAATAAATAAATAAATATACTTACTTTGAAGCTAATATTTCTAGCTGAAAAATAACTAGCATAAACTGTAACAGATGCTGTTTGATATGTACGAAGCTGTTGTCCATTTGCTCCTTTATCACTTGCTCTATCATGCCATTCTATTACTGTTACGTCTCTACCTGCTCCTTGAAATGTTATGTATGGCTTTGTTTCTGGCACCACCACTTTTTCACTGCACCACAATTAAAAAATAAAATAAAATTATATGACGTATTTTTCTTTTTAGTCTCGACAAATATCTTAGATGTTTTTTTAATGTACCACGTAATTTGGGACGGGTATATATATAAAGAAACCGACACATGTGACCTAGAAAGTATCCATAACAACAAAGATCACAAACTATAACATCTTCATTATACGATTATAATGATTTATAACTATATAAATATTTAAGATAAAAGAGCACTCTTTTTGATATTTTTACTTGTCTATTATACTTTTATTTTTTCTTGTCCTCTTTAGCATATAAAGGAATTTTTATTTTTTTTTAAAGTTTGTTCTCATCATCAACTATTCATCTTTTCAAGTTCATTGAGACTATACACTAATTATAATGTGTATTATACTAAAATATAGTACATTTTATGCATTAAAAGAAAGTGCAAAAATTATTGTGGACAAAAAAAATTAAATGAGGAAGTAAGAGACACCCGTGACCTATAGAAAGATATATGTACGAAACAATATGTTCACGTACTTGGACAAATAAAAATAAATGTCCCTCCATTATTATATACTCATATAATATAGATACTAATTGCACATGGTAAATAATTAATATAAGGAAAATTCGTATTATAAATTTTTAAGTGTCCTGCATTGACCTTCAATTAAGAAAGGTGTGAATCATTAAATACACGTCTTTAATGAAAGAACAATTAATTTTTATACAAGACAATGGCATCATAAACTTTATTATATTATCTAACTATTTAAACGATAACCTGAAAAATTAAATTACGTTACGCTACCTGTTACAAGCGGGAAAAATCTATAACCTATATATATACGTGAAATTTAATTTATGACAGTGTATTTAACTTAAACGCTTACATATAATAACCGGGGCAAATGTCAATAATGATATTCATGTTGTTATTTTGAGGAATTGAGTCCACTGCAGCTTGAACCGATTGGTAATCACCGAAACCGTGAATGTTAACGGAGATATGTCGGGTACCCGATGGCCCGACCCATTTTCCGGGGCCATTTTTAACGGAATTTGAAGGTGACGGAGTAGTACTGCTAACTGAATCTGCATGAAAAAATAAGTAATTTAGGAAGAAAATAGTGAAAGTAAAATAAGAATTAATGAAAACAGCCATTAATTAAATTAAATAAAATTAAAATAGTATTTAAATGATTGAGAAAGAATGTGATGAGCTGAGAGAGAATATTTGTGGAAGTAGAGAAGAATGTTAAAGAGTGAATGAAGTATATATATATGTGGAACCTGTAACGGTCATATTTTGTGTGTGTGTTGAATGTGTTATTGTGTAAAATAATTAATTTGTAAGTATTTTATAATGTGTGACCATTTGCTCAAAAGTCAAGAAGTTGGACTCTTATATTTGTTCCCATCATTTGTAACTTAGATTTCTGTGCTGATTACTGATTAGCAGTAAAAAGTAACACTATTTTAAAAAGCAAATGAGAAAAAAGAGACTTTAGTAGTGCCTTTCCTTTGATGGGGACATTCGGCTAATTTTGTTTATCAAGACTAGAAATATTAGCTAAATGTTTGATTAGCGTTTGACTCCAAGTTTTTAAATATTTTTGGCAAATAATATTTAGGTCAAGTTTTTGGGCAATGTGTTTTGCCCCAAGTTTTCTAAAAAATATTTGACTATTTTAGAAAAATATGATTTATATCCAAGAGTTTTAAAAATTATTAGAAATATCCATAAATTTGTATTATCTATTTATAGTGAATATATTCCGTTAAAAAATAACTTTATAACATAATTGATAACAGTAACAAAATAACAATATAGGCAAGACAATACATTAATCGCATATTCAAATTTGTCATTGATTCGATTATAATTATAACCTATTAAAAAAAACAATTTTGTCGCTCAAATTAGAATTCAAACTTTTCGGAGAGGGTGGTAACAAATATTAGTTGGAATTAATAAATAATGGGTATTTTTTTATAAAATATAAAAGTTTGGTGTATTTTTGAATTTTTTAAAATTTTCAAATATTAAAATTTGGCTCAAATACTAATTTTTTTAGTATTTGAAAACTTGGGATACTTGACAAATATATTTATCAAGTTATATGGCCAAACCATTTCCCAAGTTTTTTCCAAATCTTCTCCAAGATTTCATAATTCTCAACCACTTGATTAATCAACTATGTTACAATACATTTGGGTACTCACTTGATTGTTATGTAATCTTACTCCTCTATTTTAATTTATATGACGTAGTTTGACAGGACGCAAAATTTAAAGAATTCTTCCATAACATTTGTGTGATATTATAAAACTTTAAAAAAATTATTTTGAATCTACCATATATTTTTGTGACTATATAAATTGTTCATTGAGAACAAAGCAAGAAGTTTAAAGTTAAACTATTCTCATATATCATTCTTATTGGGGCAAATTAATAAGACAGTGTTACAAAAATTAGAGCTTGATCATACAGTAATAGAATATAGTAAGCCGGATAAACTTAAGGAATAAGACTGTGTACATAACACTTTTTTTCAGGATACACTCTTAAAATTATATTGAATATATTATTATATAAATATAAAATATAAATAATTGTGAGTAGTTACTTTTGAATTTTAATTTTCACACTTCAAGATATAGTACATTTCATAACTAGAAAATAAATTTAGCCTCCAAAAAAGATAATTGAATCACTTTTTAAGTAACTTATTCAAGTCATTAATTTTCTGTTATAAAGACATACAAATGGCTGCTACCTACCAGTTAGAGACTCAGAATCATCGAATACCAGATATGCATGTCGTCAATTCTGCAACTGTCTGTATACATAAATGTTTTTTTTTTCCTTTTCAATTTAGTGAAATAATCATAAAAGTGAATATAATTATTAACTCACTATTTTTAAAAATTACCTCTTGACTAACCTTGACAGTTATACGCAACCGAGACGCAATCGTGACATATAAATTTTGAGGTGCGGATATAATTATTTTGTAAGATGTGGAGTGTTCAACTAACAAATTGTAAAGATGAGTTGAGGTGTCTAGATACACATTCTCGGATCGAGTTAAAATATTTAGTTATTGTATCTATGTATTATGTGTCTTAAATAAACGTTGATTATGAACAAAGTATGGCACAAATTATTTAGCTATTAATCATTCTGAATTTAGGGATAAATAAAATGTTGAAACGGTCATTTTATTAGGCATGCAGCTGCATGTGGGGGAAACATAGGTTTAATAGTAATGGTGGTCTGCATGAAGGGAAAAAATGGTCCTAGCATGGCCTATACAATTTTGTACTTATATAGTAGTTGCGGTCACTATGTGGAGACCCACTATGAGATTTTATAAATAAATTTGTGTTTATCCGCATTGGAGCTCCAACCAAAGTTAGATATTGTAGGGCTTAGTCTGGGAGCGGCGCTCCTATTAAAATATTCTTTATACTAAGGCTTGAACTCAAGATCTCTGATTAAAGGTGGATCAGTCCTATCTCTTAAGTATTACTTTAGTTCCTTCTAATACGAAGCAAAACATATTTAACCATCAATTGATTGAAATATGCTTTTTTTTTAATTCTTATTTGAAAAAAAAACTAGAATAATATTACTGTCGAATAAAAAGTAACAATATATGTTTAACATAATGCATGCTTAATTAACTAAGTGGTGGGATAATTATTATATTGGGGAAAAAGGACAAATATATCCCCAAACTATCGTAAATAGTATGCAGATACCCTCCGTCATACTTTTGGGACATTGGTGCCCCTACCGTCCAAAAACTAGAGCATATATGTCTTTCACTCTAACGAAAGACTAAATAGGGACACGTGGCATAATCTTTTCCGTCAATCCAATATTTAATAAATGTCGGATCTGTGGATAAGATTATGACACATGTATGTCCGTTAAATGATATATATGCTCTAGTTTTTGGACGGCAGGGGCACCAATGTCCCAAAAGTATGACGGAGGGTATCTGCATATCATTTACGATAGTTCGGGATATATTTATCTTTTTCCCTTTTATTGGAACTTATGACAAACAAATGTATGAAAATTACAAGCAAAACGATCAAAAGTGTATGTTTGAATTAATTAAAAATAAAATACATTTAATGAGATATTACAAACACTAAAATAAAAACTTAGCAATAACTATTAACTGGGGACCAAAAATGTTATGATCCCTTTTTTTTTTTAATGTTCATTGAAATGGGCCCTTCGAATTTAAAAGTCAGTTTTTTTTTTTTGAACTTTGGAAAAATGGAGGAACTTTACCACACAAAAAGGGCATTGAGACAAAAACTCCTAACTTGTATAAAAATTGATCTTTTTTTCAAAAGAAACAAGAAAGTTATTTATGATGGGATGTTGATTTTGCTTGATTATTGGATGTAGGCCCTCATATCATTGAACAAATAATTAAAAGGTGATGAAATCTTGTTTATTAACCAAACAATATTTTTGGTGTAATCTTACAAATTAACATAAAAATATTCTTATGTTTATATGATAAAGCTATAATTCTCGATAGAATCTTATTTATTAACTATTGAACAATAAAAAGTGATACGTGTGTAGAATGAATAAACACCAACTATCTTGTCATATTTTATTCCATAGAACAAAATGGGATGTCTCTCGTCATATTATTTTGCATCAAACAAATCTTCTAATATGAATAAAGTGCCTTATCGGTCTTTTTTTCGTTTAAGACATTTTTGTTTAAATTTCATCTTCACATTAAAGCAGAATACGATTATTAGTTTTGAAATTTTTGGGTCATTTGTACTTTTTGTTCTTATTCTTTAACTTTTGTCCCTCGTATATCAGAAGCCCAAGCCCATCACATTTTAAGCCTTTGTACAGATGGTAACTGAGGCCCAAATCCACTTACCTGGACAAGGCCAGTCCAATTCTCTAGGCTGATTTGCATAAATGTTCCTTTTTAACTCACTATTTAAATTTTGTCCGTATTTTTCATAGTTGTAAACATGTACCCATTTCTTAAATGTTTCTTAATCATACAGATAAAACATTAGACTGTCACCTAACGTTTGAGTAACTTATTACAACTTTTTAGACCATGATCTTACGTTATAAGAAAAAACATAAAAGAGGGTAATTTACTAAATAGGTATCCGAAAAAAGTAACAACGGGTAAAAAATTCTGAATTTTGTTTGACTAATGCATTTTGTTGCTGGAAAGCTAATAGTAACAAAATTCAATTTCCAAGTATAACACATACTTACAACAAGTTCATCCCATTTTTACATTTTCTAGTTCATATAAGAATTTGCAACATATCAAAGAATTCCTTTAGCTTGTATAAGAGCACAAGCACACTTCCCAAAAAAAATAAATCCCCTTTTTAATATCTTCAACTTTCAAATTTTCCATTTCATCAATACAACTTGTTGAAACCAGCAGGTGCAGCAGATTCACTCAACCTAGGCAAGAACCCTTCCCTCTCAAGTGAAACATTAAGACAAGACATTATTTTCACCAATGCTGTCCATGCCACGGGGGACGCACAAAACGCGTACGCGAATACAGCCAATGCTCTTACAATACCATCAGAATACCAAGGATAAGCCATGACCAGAAGTACCCCGAATATTCCTAGCCATGGCACAAGAACAGGCAACATTGGCAACAAGAATGTGGTCATTGCTATACATGATAGCGCGAAAGAGCCTAGTAAGTAGAGACCCCACCCGATGAGTGGATGAACCGTGTGAGGTATCAAGAAGAAAGGGATAATGTAGGCTGCAAGAATGGACCATATCGCGATCAGCTTTAGGCCAGTTCGTATTAGGAAGATGCTCTTGGTGTTTTCACGTCGATAGCACAACTTAGATAAGTTGGGACGTGCAACGCGTGTCATTACAATTATTCCAAGGTATAGTACAGTTTGGATCAGCACTAGTGGCCTCTCTGCATCATACCTGCCAAATGCCAAACATATTAAACTTTGATGAATGTACTTCAGCAAGCACTCGCAACGTTCACAAAAAAGAGTAATTTCAGCTGATGACAACGATAACAGCAACGATATGAGGGAAAAAACAGGACATTATAGTCCAAAAAGAGCTCAAATGGAGCAACATGGATAGTCAGGATTCACATACACGACTTTTTTAATTGATATTCTAAAGAGTACAATGGTCAATTTAG